TGATCAACGGCCACATACAAAGACAGCATATCTGCAATGGTCTTGTTCAACCGTTCAGCGAGTCCGTTTGTTTGGGGGTGATAACCCGTGGTTTTCCGATGTTCTGTACCACTTAGGCTCAGCACTTCTTGAAGCATCTCTGCGGTGAAAGCTGTCCCACGATCAGTTATTATCACAGTTGGCGCTGCGTGACGAATTAAAATGCTGGTAACGAAAAACTGGGCGATTTCGGCTGCGGTAGCTTTGGGCATATTGTCCCGAAGTGAGGTCGGCACAACCAGTAAATAAGTAGCCTGGGTATGGTCGAAGTTTTTCTTATAGAGGACTCCATCCCCGATGCAGAACGAGGCCAGCGAACGTGCGAAGTTTCGAGGAATATTGGTTTTTCGGCCTTCGAGGTAGTCAATAAGCGGGCTTAGCTCCACGTCGTCGCGTTGTTGTTGAGCCAAGTGGGTTGCTGATACTGGGGTAAGGAATGTATCGTCCTCTTCAACGTCCGCGTCCGTACTTTCACTTGATGCACGTGAGAGACAGTCAGCATCGGTGTGTTTGCGTCCTGACTGGTGAATGACTGTAACGTTGAATTCTTGCAGCCGAAGGCTCCACTGTGCTAGACGACCGGAAGGATCTTTGAGGTTGGCGAGCCAGCATAAAGAATGGTGGTCGCTGACTACCCTGAATGGTCGACCGTACAAATAAAGCTGAAACTTTGTTATAGCCCAAACAACAGCCAAGCATTCTTTTTCTGTTGCAGAGTAGTTTTTCTCTGCAGATGATAGTGTTCGACTTGCATAGGCAATCACGCGTTCTGCGCCATTTTGCCATTGAACCAATACAGCTCCAAGGCCGACGTTGCTGGCATCCGTGTGTAGCTCTGTGGCACCGTTGTCGTCAAAGTGACCGAGTACAGGTGGGGCTTGGAGATGGTTTCGTAGCGTGTCAAAAGCGTGATGCTGATCCTCACCCCAAACAAATGGTACGCAGTCTTTTGTAAGTTCATTTAGTGGTTCAGAAATTTTAGAAAATCCTTTGACGAAGCGTCTGTAATATGCGCACAGTCCCAGAAATCGTCGAAGATCGCGTTTGTTCGTTGGGACAGGAAATGCGGCAACTGCTTTTGTTTTCTCAGTGTCTGGGTGTATACCGGCGGGGCTGACAACGTGACCAAGAAACTTCAATTCCTCGAAAGCAAAGTGGCATTTCTCCGGTTTGAGAGAAAGTCCAGCTGTTCGAATGGCCTGAAGAACTGTCTGTAAGCGTTGGGCGAGGTGCTCAAACGTGTCCAAGAAGACTACCACATCGTCAAGGTAGGCAAGACACGATTGCCATTTTAGCCCAGAAAGAACCGTGTCCATCATTTTTTGAAAAGTAGCTGGCGCCAAGCATAAGCCGAAGGGAAGGACCTTGAACTCGTAGAGTCCGTCAGGAGTAATGAAGGCGGTCTTTTCGCGGTCGCGCTCATCAACAGAAATTTGCCAATAGCCGCTGCGTAGATCTATGGAAGAAAAGTAACGAGCGTTGCGAATGCGGTCCAGCGAGTAATCTATTCGTGGTAAAGGATGCACGTATTTGTTCGTGATCTTATTTAACTTTCGGTAGTCGACGCAAAATTGCAGGGTACCATCTTTTTTCTTTACTAACACAACAGGGGACGTCCAGGGACTGGTCGATGGCTGGATGACATCGTCCTTGAGCATCTGATGGACCTGTTGGCGTATACAGTAAAAGCTCGTTAATTCGACACCCGTTAATTCGAAAATTCGGATAATTTGGACGGCTCTATTGGTCCCGGCCAAAGTGCATGTTAATCTATGGGACCAAACCTTCGTTATTTCGTCGGAATTCGGCTCCGCACCGCTTAATTCGGACAAATGCTGACAGGCTGCTGCTCCACAAAAGTGTGATAAAGCAGTGCTGGCACCACTGGAGTGAAACCAAAACCTGAGTGGCATCACCATCATCATCAACTAGTGGGGGCGATGGCAGCGTCACCGAACGTCGGTGTCTTCTTTCATCTCCACTCAGTGCCTCCGACGCCATTTTCCTTTGTGTTGTCGTGTCGGAACCATCTCTTCTTGCGGAGTTCTCTTTTTCTTCCATTGTGACCGTATTTGCATGCCACCACCATCGCGCGCTACAGTGATGGCAACGCCTAAAAAGCGGCAGAACTACGACGCGAAGAACTTGGCGACTGAAGTGGAAATTTTGGAAGCACTGAAGAACGGCGAATCGCGACAGCAGGTTATGACCAAGTACAACGTGAAGCGGAGCACGTTGGGAACGTACGTGAAAAATGAACAACAGATTAGACAAGCCTTCGATAGCGAGAAGTTTCATGCCTCTAGAAAGCGGTTGCGAACCGCAGCTCATTCCCAGCTCGAAGAAGCTTTCTTCCGGTGGATTACTGACTGTCGCAACGCACATCTGCCTTTGAGCGGACCTCTCATCATGGCACAAGGTGAGAAGTACGCTGCAATGATGAACATTGAATCGTTCAAAGCGTCAGAAGGGTGGTTTGCGAGGTTTCGAGAGACACGAACTTGTCTTCAGGAGTGTGTGCGGCGAAAAGGCCAGTGTTGACGAAAGCGTGACCACCGAGGGGAGAAATGTGAAGCTGCTGGAGCACATCGCCGCATATGAACCACGTGACGTGTTCAATGCAGATGAAACTGCTCTATTTTTTAGAGATGTGCTCGACATGACGGTGACTTTCAAAGGGGACGCGTGCATTGGTGGCAAGAAGTGCAAGCAAAGGATAACTGTGCTTCTTGCCGCCAATTGGACTGGCAGGAATCGCTTGCCACTACTTCTCGTCGGGAAGGCGCTTAAGCCACGTTGTTTTAAGAACGTCAAAAGCCTTCCTGTCGAGTACACAGCGAACAGGAAGGCATGGATGACATCGGACATTTTTCGCGGCTGGCTGCAGCAGTTGGACCGGCACTTCACGTCGAAGGACCGCAAGATAATTATGGTTGTTGACAACTGCAGTGCCCATAACTGTACAGTCGAACTCAAGAGCATCAAAGTAGTTTTTTTGCCGCCCAACACTACGTCTGCTCTTCAGCCGATGCACCAGGGTATCATTCACTACGTGAAGTCGAAGTACCGGAAGCACCTGCTAGAGCAAATGATCCTATGGTCAGAAGCTGGAAAGTTGTATCAAGTGGGCTTACTCGGCGCAGTGCACATCATAGCCCACGTGGGGAAAAACACTCCGCCGCAAGTCATCGCCAACTGTTTTCGGCACAGCGGTTTTGTGAGGCCCGAGCATGCAGCAGTAGCTGACGATGACATCGAGGAGGTGTCAGCCGAGTCAACCGACGATGACTGCCCGACTTTCGGTGCTGTCCTTCCCACAGATGTGACCTTTCAGGACTACATAGCGATTGATAATGGTGTCGCCACGAGTGGTCTCCTGACCGATCAAGAGATTATTAATGATGTCACGGGCGCCCATGAAGACCACGATTCCGACGTAGAATCATGCGAGGAGATACAGCCGCGACCTCATTACACCTCACGGGAAGTCTCGGAGGCGCTGTTAATATTAGAAAGACGCTTGCCTGAACACTCCTGACAGCTTGCGTGCTGTTGGCCATTTGGAACAGTTAAGAAAAATTGTGATGTCAACCGGAAGCTGCGCGAAAACGCAGACAATTATAAAATACTTCAACAAATAAAGGTATGCTTCTGCAGCTTGATTTTTAATGTTGTTTTCCCTGTTCATTCATTAATTTGGCATTCGGTTAATTCGGACAGTTTTTCCAGTCCTGTGAAATCCGAATTAACGAGCTTTTACTGTATTACCGTCAGCACAAAGCTTTGCTTATCAGCTTTCGTGCGAACTCAAACAATGCAGAGCTTCGTACCACGGCGAAATTCAGTAAATGTAATGCCTATTTGTAATGATCAGACTTGTAATATAGAGTGATAAATACTCGAAGATGTTTTATACAAAGGCACCACAAAAAAGGGAAAACAGCCCCGCCGCGGTGGTCTAGTGGCTGAGGTACTCGGCTGCTGACCCGCAGGTCGCGGGTTCGATTCCCGGCTGCGGCGGCTGCATTTCCGATGGAGGCGGAAATGTTGTAGGCCCGTGTGCTCAGATTTGGGCGCACGTTAAAAACCACAGGTGGTCGAAATTTCCGGAGCCCTCCACTACGGCGTCTCTCATAATCAAATAGTGGTTTTGGGACGTTAAACCCCACAAATCAATCAATCAAAAAGGGAAAACAGTCGTCCATTTGCAGAACAAGACAACAAACACAAAAAAAGTTAAGTTAACTTTAACAACCCCCCACCCCTTCCCTTTCGAAGAAAAAAAAACCGAGACTTATACTGCAGCTCAACGCTGCACATCGGAAACCCGAAGGTAGGACAACACTTCCCGCAAGCAGTAGTTGTTCAGGTTCGTACATAATGGTATTCTTTTTCTTCTTCGTCCTCCTGATGCACACGATGTCTCTCTTGACGACTCCCGTTATTTGGAAGTAGTTTTCTTCGATAAACCGTTCCCCCTCCTTGATTAGCGCCGAGGCAGCAGGCCTACCCTGGTTGCCGTTCGACTTGGCCAGCTCATGGAGAAAAAAAGAGGTGTCCTTGTACATCTTGAAGGCCTCCGCCAAGGCCTTACTGACATTCCTGGTCAGCGCAAACTCGATGGCCTGCATCATCATGCCCATGTTACGCCGTAGTCGCTGCCTGATCTCCAACGCTGGCAAACTGGTAGCCGAGTAGTTCATGCACATCATCTGGAGCGTGCAGTTCCGCTCCAGAGCAGCACTCACTAACTTCAGGCACGAATCCTCTGCCGTGGCCCGTCCCAACGTGATGCACGCAAGCGTGTTGTTACTCTCCAAGGCGGCAGCGATGGTCGTGCAAGCAGTCGACCTCAGGCTGCCGCCTTGCACGCTGAACCACCAGATGCTACTGTTCCTGGCAATGCCGTTGAAAAGCCGGATTAGACAGGTGTCCTTCACCCTTTTGGTGATAGTCACTGCCTAGATCGTCGTGGTAGTCTTGAACAGGTGAGCCAGCGCCGTGCCGTCGTCCAGGTTGAGGTAGCAGTTGATCTCGACCTCCTGGGTGGATTTGTTCTGAGCTAGGGCGGCACACAACTGCTCGATCTCGGGCCCACACGTGTACACACAGAGATGCTCAGAGTCTGAGTGAGCGGCAGCATGTGCAACAGCTGCTTCCTGACGGGCGTGCCCCACACGAACAGCTGAACACCGCGGATGGCAGTGTTGGCCGTGAGGGCTTCGGCGAATGCATCGAGGTGCTTCCGCGGAGCGCCGTAGCTGGACTCGAGGGTCGCGTTCAACCTCACCAGAGTCCGGTTGCAGGCGATGAGCCTGCCCAACGCGGCCACACCTTGCTCACCGAATCTGTTGGCGAACAGCGAATCTTGAGCGACTTGTTGTCCATGACTGCCTCCGCGATGGCAACGATGCCTTCCTCGGATATCACATTCCCGCAAACGTGGAGCTCTTCAAGTTTGCAGTTCATCTTCAAGGTGGTCGCAAAGGCCACAGCGCCACTGGTGCCGATGGCGTCTCGCAGGTCGAGTACCGAGAGTGACGAGTTCGTTTTGAGAGTTTCGGCGAGAGCCCGGGCGCCCATGGGCCCGATGGAGTTGCTGGCGATACGAAGGGAAACGAGCGTGGTGTTCTCAGCTAGCGCGGCCGCTATGGCCACAGCTCCGTTGGCCTGTAGCTTCATCCGCTGTAGTGTGACCAACCTTAGAGGTTGGTCACACTACAGCGGGGCTGCGAACTGCATACGGGGTGCCAAGCAGTTCGCAGCAGGGCTGTGAACTGCTTGGCACCTTGTATGCCAACGGTGTTGACTTCAAGCCGTAGATACTCGACGCTCTTGCTCTTTTCGAGCGCCTTGAAGAGCAGGATGGTGTCGGCCACCTTGAAGCCAGTGTCGACTAGGGCCAACTCGCGGGGAGTCGAGGTGACCTCAACATAGGTCACAGCGGCGCAACGGCATGTTGCACATTTGCACGCTGAGCGGCTTGGCCCGCCACATTGCCCTGATGAAGGTATACATCTCGTCGCTGTCCATCGCCTGGCCGTCAACGTGGAACTGCTTGATGGAAGAGTTGGGCGTCAGGTGCTGGATCACGCTCATCTTCATGCTGAACAGCTTGCCCGCGTAGCCGAAGTGCACGAAGTAGATACAACGGTGGGTTGCGAGAAGCTCGGCAAGCAACGTCACACGGAGCCGTAGTCGTTCATGCTCGGGTCGCAACGCGCGAATGTGTAGAGGGAAAGGCGCCCCGAACGGTTCTCGCGCAGCTCCAGACCGATGTTCTCGAGGAAACTATTCCCCACGCCGATGTTTCGAACCAGCCAGCAAAGCTATCGCATGGAAGTGGGCGAGTTGGCATCGGTGCAAGGGGCTCGCATGTCCAGGGAGTGTCATCTAAAGTAGGCCTTCAGGCCGCGGCTGTAAGTCGGCTTCTTCATTTCCTGCGGCTGCTTCTGCGGCCGCTTCCACTTCAGGGTGACTGACATGGCAACGCCGCCACTGGCCGTCGGTGTCATCGCCCGAAAGACGCGGGTATCGAAGGCAGAGTGTGACGAGAGATGCGTCCTCCTGGTTCACAAGCGCTGCACAGGCTGCGTCCACCGATAAAGAAGAGGCAGACGCCACAGAACGCGTCCCCGTGCAAGCCACTGGCTCGGTGAAAACGCGAAAGTAGACTATGGCTCAACGTCAGCTTCTTTCAGAGCACCTCGAAGGGACACGCAGTGCGGCTCCTCTTCTTGTACCGACGACGCGCAGGCGAAATAAACAACAGCGAAGCTTGCAAGTAACAGCACATGGAGCACGTTCTTAGGCGCCAATATTCGTTCTCGTCGTCTTCAAACAAGCAGACAACTCGAGCAACCATTCACGCTTGAAATTCGAGTGAGTTTTTCAGCAAGCTCGACGCGATGCCGAGTGCGAAACGGAGAGCGCCGTGTTGGAACGGCGTAGCGATAGTAGCGTCTTGTTCTTTTTGCGAGACTCTGTAGGCGTGCTGTCGAATGGGTCTCTCGGTAGGCTCGGTGATGATACGATGCTTATCAAGTGGTGTTTGGTTCACTTTCGAAGTCGTAGCGAAGCAGTCCCGAAATGAGTCGAGTAGCTTTAGAAGGCGTTCTCGTGGTGCGGACGTTAGACCCTGGTTTACATCGAGGGTGCTTGCGAATGTCATGGCAGAATGGTCGCGCGACGAAAGGGCAGATATTGTTGAAGGACCAGGGACGTCGTCAATATCCTCAAGGTATGCGATCGTAATGTGTTTCGTAAGATGACGATGCTACTCGCTGAAATTCGTGGGCAGTAGGCAAGCCTGCTTCCTTCTGGGCTGAACAATACCCCGGGCAACGCATATTTGTTGTGCAAATAGTAGGGACAAATTTTCTTCCGCAATTAGAGCATCGGAGACGTCTTGGTCACATTCAACGTTGATAAAGAGGCTGCTGCGGGGGGCCAGAGTAACAGATTCGAAGGATACACGTAGGACAGCTGCCTTCGATAAGTGGGTGTTTTCAGGTTCAGAATGAAACTTGTCCTTGAACGACACCTGCGAGTCTCGTAGGTCAATAATTGCGCCATGTTCGCGAAGAAAGTCCAGTCCCAGAATGAGTGGACGGGAGCACACAGGCAATACGAGGAACGACCCTGTGAACCTCGAAGCATGGACTCGAACACGGGCTGTGCACATTCCAGTCGGCGTGACGAGGTGGCCCCCTGCCGTGCGCAACGGGGGTCCTTGCCAAGGGGTAGTTACCTTCCTCATTTGGGGTGCCAGGGCGCTGCTCATAACCGAATAATTGGCGCCGGTGTCGACGAGGGCAGTGGCGACGTGATTATCGACGCGTACGGTGATGTCGGCGGAAACAGTCTTGAAACTTTCGGAAACGACTGAAAAATCAGAATGGTCTTCGCCGGGTTTTTGCGTCGAGGGAGGCTCTTTGACAGTTCGTTGAGACGCGGCTTCACCCCCAGGAGCCGCGGTTTCTAGTTTCATCTGTGGGGACTTGGTGACCGGCCTCTAAAAGGAGCATAAGATGATGAGGAAATGCTAGGTGACGTGGGGCGGCGAGGTGATGGTGATCGTGATTGGGGGCGCTGACCAAGGCGAGGAGCTTACTGGCCCGTAAGGTACGCTTCGATGTCGCGCGGACGCTCACCGGAAAGGCGGGGCAACGAGCATCAGGGTGAAAGCCACGGAGACCAAGTCGGCGGTACCGGCAATTGCGGTAGACGTGACCCGCTTCGCCACAGTGGTAGCAGAGTGGACGGTTATCTGACGTACGCCACACGCTGGCCTTTGTGGCGTTCTGTCGCGATCCAGACGGATGATAAGTGGGTGCACTTGGAAACCTTGAGGCGGGTGGCGGAGTCGAAGAGGTGCCCTGGAATCGATGGCTAGTCTGATCCATTGTCCGCATAGTAGGATCAGGAACATGTGGTGCCAGAGATCGCAGTGCCGCCGCATAAGTCAGCACAGGGGCCTCAGGTCTTGTTGGCGCGAGTGGGGTGATCACCTGTCGGATCTCGTTCAGGATTAGGTCTGCGAGAGCATTTACCGTTGATTCGGGTTCCGCTGCTTGGAGTTGGCGCAGCTCGTTCGCACGATGCTTCTTATGAACTCTGCGAGGGCATGCCTCTCGCTGTCAGCCCCGATACAGCATGCCGCAGTGGCGACGTCGTGGCGTTCATACTGTGACAACCGATGCTGGAGAGTACGCTCCATTGTGGTTGCCTCATTTATGAACTCAGCCACAGTCTTAGGTGGATTGCGCACAAGTCCGGCGAAGAGTTGTTCTTTTACACCACGCATTAAATGCCGCACCTTCTTTTCCTCAGACATAGCAGGGTCGGCACGCCGAAGAGTCGAAGCATGTCATCGACAAACATCGAAACCCTCTCGTTAGGTCGTTGGTTCCGAGACGAGATGGCCTGCTCCGCTCTCTCTTTCCTTTCGGCACTGCGGTATGTATCGCAAAACTGTCGGCTGAATTCTTGCCACGTCGCAAAAAAGAACCCTCGTGATTCTGATACCACGTTTTGGCAGAGTCTTCCAACGCAAAGTATACTCTCCGCAGCTTGCGAACTTCATCCCATTCGTTGATGTTGGCATCATCAACATCCTCATAAATGCCTCCATGAAATGAGCGTGGTGTTTGCGGCGCATGAAAAACATGCGGGAGAAAAGAATAGGCGTCGTTGGTCTGACTCGCCTGGTTGGTAGTCGAGGTTGCCATCTCGTCTTGAGAGAGAGGACCGTATTCGGGAGATAGTCCTCGCAGGCGGCGACTGCTTCTTGCCGTCGGAGCTGTAGCTGCCTCCAAGTAGTTCGGTGTGTCGGCTGCAGCCGAGGCGCATTTACCCAACACCTCCATCAATGCCACGACTGAAATAACAGACAGCCGCGAATCCAAGTCTTGCTTTCTCCCAGACTAGGAAGCAAAGTCCTCTTCTTTCTCTACTTTCAAGAGATTGCTCGCTACAGTTATGGCTCATACCAATTACCTGTGACAATATGCATCCAAGCGTATTTCTTTGCATCCTTGGGCATATCGTAATGAAAAAAGGACAGTGTTGCGTGTCCTAGCAAAGTGTGGACCACGCACGTAACCAGAGTAACTATAAGATTATGCACAACGGACAGAAGCTACATGCACTTGCGGCGGAGGAGACAACTTGAGAATGTAAGGAAAACGAATCCATGAACGGCGACGGATGTCTCAGGCTGATGCAAAACATCGCCCCCATAAAACATGAAGCTGAGGTGCTGACATCAACAAAAACTCGGATCGTTCTCACTTAATTCAAGTGGGGTCGCAAGACAGTTTCAAGCGGCCCATGTGTTTTGCAGTGATGATGTGCACCCATGCGCGCATCACGACCTCATAATAGGAGCAGCAACTACTGACACTAGATGTGACCCTGTGTCTGATATAACAATACAAGCAAGACCAAAGCGGCTGGAAACTTGCAGTGAGAGCCACCTGCAAACTTTATACATGGGGCGGATCTTTGGAAATATTTTTTTGTAGAATTAATTTTCCCTGACTTCTAGCAACAGCTCTCTATTGAATAGCTGGCAAAATATTCCGACAATAATTATTGCCGAACTCGGTCAAATTGCGAAGATAACATATCAATTCAATATTTCGCTTGCAAAGTTTCTCTTCTTTATAGAACTTCGATTACTGTAGCATAATCACGAGGATCACGCACTTCTGTCAAGTTCGCCAACCTAGTGCATTTTTCCAACTACGCACGCACATAGGTTTGCGCTAAAGTCTGAAAAAGTCTCTATGTTGCCAAGTCGACAAATTCACAAAAGTTCTCATTGAGTGGCTCAACTAACTACTAAAAAGTGCTGGGAGCACGAGAATGCAGTTTAACATGCCGAAAACGATGACAGAAAAGCGTTGATCAATGGTGTTCGGTTTGAATAAGCATGATAACGAAAGTACAGAAACTAAACTTGCGAAAGCAAGTACAGATGAAAAAATATGTGATTTTTGTGATTTTAGAAAAGACTTGCATTTTACGAGTAGCATATACCCTTAATGCCTTTCGCTACTAATTGTATGCGCCGGAACTTGTTCGACAGCAGCATGCAGCTGTTGATGCTGTAGTTCATGCAGTGTAGTAATATTAAAACATTTGAAAGAGCGTCTACTATGCTAGAAATTTTTTAAATGTGGCTTTGAACTAATCTCATGTTAGACTTTTATTTTTACTTTGTGATCTATTCAGCATTAAAAAGGCTTTTTCAACATGACAGGCACCATGTTGCTTTAAGTGTGCAATGGCCTCTTGCACCGTCTTAAGACACCAACAAACTTGCGCTGATGGCACTATAGTATGCTTATTTCTGCATTTCACTAACCTTGATTGTATGTTAGACTCATAACAATGACTGTTTGTTTTTTTTTACCCTAATATTGCTCACTTCAGAAATCAATGTTACAGACATAAGGTCTCATGCCACTAAATTGAGATGTATGAACTCTTCCAAAAAGAATGCCATTCAGAACTCAAAGTGCCCCTCATCAGGCCACCTAGCAAATTCTAGTCGTTCACTAGTGATTACTTACCTAATACAGAGCACTCTACCATAAAAA